TTTTAGAAGGAGATGATTCTTGAAAGTTTATCAATTTCAGATTTTTCTTTTCTAATTAATATAAGCACATAGTGATAGAAATTGTGATACGTTATATTTTTATTTTAATTTGGTTCAATCTATCTTTTATTTTTCAAGAGACTGGGTTAAAATATAAAGACTCTGAAAAATTGAAAGGGATAGAAAAATATGTATCACCCAAACAGTATCCAAAACAAAGTTGGTGCAGCTTTAATAATATAAGAGAAAGTAGATTTTAACTCAACATAGATGACTACAGGTAAGACTTCAAATATCACTTAGAGTGGCTTAAAGGAGGTGCCCTTCCCAAGAGCTGTTTAAGCAGACAAACTGCAGAAGTTGTCTAATTTACTTATTTTAATGTAGGGAACTTTGTCTTTTTGGGGGCTGCTTGACATTTAGATCCTATGCCCACATTTTCAGAATTTCACATTCTACACCTGTTGGTGGGAGGTAGACGCCATTTCCCTCATTAGAACCTGAAAAATAATGATGCTTTATTGAGCCAATATTTTTCCAACAATTTACTTAAACTATTTATTGAATATTTTTATAAAATACCGAACTTCAGCCTAGTATACTTTGGGACACTGTGTTTTCAAATAATGTTTCCATTGTATCAAAAAATACATACTTGTAGATAGCTGCAGATTGTCTATACTATTAGGTGTTTAAAAAAACTCTCTTAGTCAGAGTGCCAGAAATTTTATCAATGTCTCATGCGTAAAAAATGGTAAATTCTAATCAACAAAAGACAGATATAACCAGGTAATTTGAAGCATAAACAAAATCCTCTGCCTCAATTATAAAGTACAAAGTATCAGGTTTGCAATATGAGTTTTTCTTTTGTAATAGAATTTCGTAACTAAAGATTGGGTTCTAGCCATCTCAAGGTTCAACTCGGGTAGTAGTATTCACTACAAAGCTGACACGGTTGGTGGCAGAATTTAGTTTTTCACAGGCTATTGGATTGAAGACCTTTGATTTTTACTGGGGCTGGCCAGGACCTCCCTCTATTTCTTGCCTTGTAGGCCTCTCTATAATGACAGCTCTCATCATCAAAGAGTGTAAACTAGGAAGGCAATTGAGTCTGTTATCAAAATGAAAGCCCTAATCACAGAAGTAACATCAGATCACTTGTGCCATATTCTGTTCGTTAGAGGTGAGTCACTAGCTTTTGTTGACACTCAAAAGGAGGTGATTACACAAGGGAATCATTGTAGGATCATCGCAGGTTATCTTAGAAATCTGACTACCCCATGTCTGTCGATGAGGAAACTTATTAAATAAATGCAGCCATATCCATGCATCTTCAAAGAAAAGAATTAGGAGTTCTATATGGTACTAACATGTAAAGAGTAAATACCTATTGAAGCCGGGCGCGGTGGCTCACGCCTGTAATCCCAGCACTTTGGGAGGCCGAGGCGGGCGGATCACAAGGTCAGGAGATCGAGACCACAGTGAAACCCCGTCTCTACTAAAAATACAAAAAATTAGCCGGGCGCGGCGGCGGGCGCCTGTAGTCCCAGCTACTCAGGAGGCTGAGGCAGGAGAATGGCGGGAACCCGGGAGGCGGAGCTTGCAGTGAGCCAAGATCGCGCCACTGCACTCCAGCCCGGGCGACAGCGCGAGACTCCGTCTCAAAAAAACAAAAAACAACAACAAAAAAAACCTATTGACAAAGGAACAGTGTGAATAATATGACATATTTTGCTTATAAGGTGGAAAATAATTCCATAATTCTATCTGCTTGTATACAGTTAAAGAAACTATGAAACAACATATAAGAAATGAATTACAGGGTTGCCAAGGTTGGGAGTGAGGAATGAGAACTAGGTGGAAGGGAAACAGAGGTTGAAGGGACTTTTCCTGTAGTTTTTATATTTACAATTTTTTGAACCATATAAATACATAATCTATTCAAAGATTAAATAAAAATAATAGGAAGATTTTTTTGTGGTCACCAAAGTTGTCTCTCTTCAGTATTCTAGAGGGGCATGAGAAGCTGAGAGTATTAGCTAATGATGGAATTTTAGAAGTTTTTTCTTGAAGGTTCAATATGCCATAAGTAGTGTCTTATGCGGTTGCCACTTAGATGCAATTTCGCATCAAGTCTACTGAGTACCTGTTGCAGCCACTGCAAAAACTCAGAATGGAACCTCCCACCCAAGATTTGGTTTGGATGTCAAGACAGTGACTACATTTACACACACACACACACACACACACACACCCCGAGAGGGTGTGAAGAGGTTTATTTCATACATAATGAGACTTCTCTGGGGAAAGTAGGGCAGTCCTCTCAAGCTGATCTGAAAATGATTTGAGAAAACAGTGAAAAGAGACAGGTCTTACGGTTTTATTATGGTTAGGGGGTAGGCTGGTGTGAGCCTTCCTGCATGAAGGTTGGGGTTTGTGCTATTTGAATCTCTCCTGGCACCAAAGGTGGGAGCACCCTGGCTTTTTTTTTTTTTTTTTTTTTAATCATACTGCCCAGAGGCAGGGGTGAACCTTAAAAGCTTTTAGTAGTAAAACATCAAATAAAGCAGTCCTATTCTTTTTTTAAAGAGACAAGGTCTTGCTCTGTTGCCCAGGCTGGAGTGCAGGGGCTCAGTCATAGCTTACTGGAACCTGGAACTGCTGAGCTCAAGCAATCCTCCCGACTCAACCTCCCGAGTAGCTGGGACTACAGGCGTGTGCCACTGGACCAGGTTAATTTTTTTTATATTTAGTTTTTGTAGAGATGACGTCTTGCTATATCTCCCAGGCTGGTCTTAAATTCCTGGCCTCAAGCAATCCTCCCACCCCTGCCTCCCAAAGTGTTGAGATTACAGGTGTGAGCCACGGAGTCCAGCAATAACTTGTTTTGTTTAGTCAGGATACCAACAGAGACCTCACAAATATTTAGCCTTCTGACACAAGCTTGTAAAAAAAATTCCTTAAAAATTATCAAAATTATATGCATAAAGAAGGCTGTGGGAGACAAAGGAGTATTTCTTTAGGAGATATAATTTTTTCATCTATCAGACAAGCAAAAATTGCAAAGAATTATGGCATTCAGTGTGGCCCAGGATATGAGAAGTTAGGCAATTCCATACAGTCAATGGAAAATAAAAATTGCATATTCATACACCATTTTCCAAAGGTAACACCTTCATATAAACAATTTCAATGTGCATGTCCTTTGACTCAGCAATTCTACTCCTAGAAATGTATTCTGAGTAAACAATCAGATAAATGCAAAATGTACAACCACACAATCAATACATGCACACACACACGCAAGAATGTTCACTGGAGCATTGGTTGAGAGAAAGAAAAAAGGTTGGCAGCAACCTATAAACCCAACTATTGAGATTTAAGTAAACTAGTGTATCCTCCTATGACAAAATATAGCCATAAAAGGAAGATTCAAAGTATTTCATGATACAGGAAAGTTATTAACATTATATGTTAAAGTCGAAAGGACATAAAAGAGTATTACACTATTATTCCATTGTTGTTCATTAAATAGTTGTAAATACATAGGAAAAAGACCAAAATAATATAAATACACTAAATTTTTACAGTATTTCTGGTGTGATATGCTGGGTTATTTTTATTTTCATCTTAGTTCTCTTTAATTTTCTATACCTTTTTTACTAAATTGGAATCTCAGAGATTTTGAAGGTAAATGATCAGTGGCAAAATAATGCTACTACGTATAAATTCATTCTACAAATTAGGCTAACCAGAAGGAAAACGGGTCACCACAGAAAGTATTATAATTCATAAGAATAATGATAATTAATATGGTACAAATTTATTAGACAATCAAATATCATAAAATCTTTGTGACTGGAAATTGAATAAAAGACTTAAATTGAATTAACTTAAAAGACATTAATAGAGGTCTGTTCCTTAAAGTGCTCAGACATTTAAAAGATACTTTCAAAACAAAAACATCTAGTACAAGGAGGATTACTAGTCTCCTCAGGCCGTAGTGAAAATGGAGCACATCATCATCAAATAACAACGTCAGCTAAAAATACAGAGCCTGTTTATTTTGTATGAACCAACTGTGCAAGCAATTTGTGCAATACTTTGGTGTTAACTCCGATTTGGATACGAATTACTCATTTTCACAAACTTAAATTGGATTACACTTTATCTTTCCCAATTACTGCAAACATTTACTGAACACGTATACATTTGGAACTTCGATGAAGTAAAAACATGAAAAGTTAATCTCTACTTCCAAAAATGTAGATGCACGCTGCAATTGTATGTCATTTCTTTCGCAAAATTTTGCACAGAATACTGCTGTTAATTGTTAGTAGAGGATTTCAGAAATGACTAGATCCTTTAGTTGAGGCAAGCAGGTATGTTCCCCGTGTTCTAGCACTGCACTTAGGAGCCAATGAAAGAAAATTTTAAGAAGAAAGCAGTGTCTACTCTGGAGACCCCGCCTGCCACGACCACATACCTTGATTCTTGCTTTCTCTATAAATTCTAGAGGGGCTTTCCCAAACTCAAATCCAACTCCAATCCAAGGAATCCAGCCCCTGATGCACGGGGGTCTACGCAAATTCTTCCGCTGAAGGAGTAAGAACAGAGCAAGGCAACCCAGGATTATAATCACTGTTGGGAAAATTAGTTCCATGTTTTTGTCCAGCACCTTCCAGAATCAGAGAAGTGTGAAATAGTCCTGCCGTCCTGGCACTTGCTTCTTTTTTACGGGCTACGGAACCTGCCGGGACTCCCAATCTTTCTGCTGCAACTTTTGCAGCTCTCCTTCGTAAATGTAGCTTCCTTTCTCTGTCCCAATTTTTAGGTGATTTTTGCATTGTCGTTCCCTCCCACCTCCACTTCTCTTTGAATCTCAGCCAGCGCGGAAAAAATGCAGGGAGGGGCAGGGCAGGGCTAGGACTGACGGGCTAGAACTAGTCGCGTTGCTATGGAGACCGGGGGCGGAGCCGCAGCGGGCCCCGCGGCCGGCCAATCAGAGACGTCGCGGAGCCGGGCGGACTACATTGCCCAGTAACCTCCTGGGCTCCGCTGTGTTTTCCTATTCTGGGGTGCAGGGGGCAGCTGAACCACTCCAGCCTGGGACTGCTAGGAAGGTTGCGGGTCCGCCCGGCCGAGCCGAAGGAGAGAAATGGTCCTCACCCGGCCACTCGCCGGTTGAAAAGGGGCCGCCCTGGCAGGGAAGCGGCAGCCGCGGCGCGGTGCAGCGGCGAGAAGGGGTGCGTTTTCGCCTTGCCCTGCTGCTGAATGTCCGTCCCGGAGGAGGAGAGGCTTTTGCCGCTGACCCAGAGATGGCCCCGAGCGAGCAAGTTCCTACTGTCCGGCTGCGCGGCCACCGTGGCCGAGCTAGGTACCCGGCTGCCCACGCCTGGGCCTCCCGGGCCAGTGGCACGCGCCGCGCTGGGGGAGGGAGCGCGGGCGGCTTGGCGCCCGGCAGTGCGCATCGGAGAGGTCGCCCCTTCCACGCCCGCCTGGCGGAGGTGGTGGTGGAGGCCAGGCCCGCGGTGGGAGGAGGAGGGATTGAGGTCTCCACGGCCTCTTCCTTCTAATCTCGTCTAATGCTTCCCTTAGGCATGTGCTGTGGTGCTTGAATGTTGTACTTTGAGAAGCCTCGCCAGCTGTCATTCCTCTGTAGGAATCATTTTCCTTTTCATGAGGATGACCTTTCTAAAAACGTAATCTGTTTTCCATCGTTACTGAGATAATCTCTGTGGTTTATAGCCTTACACAGCCACACTGTCATTATCTTGTGGGTCCAAGTTGTGGACCTACCTTGTGGGACTTCCGTTATTAACCTGCCACTCACAGAGCATTGACTTAAGCATCCGCCAGTTACTTGACCTCTCTGAGTGTAATTCATCTATACTGTTTGCCTTGCAGGATTCTGAGAAGTCAGTAATATATGATTGCTAAACCCAAGGCAGGACACCAATTAGCTGCGACATTTTTATAATTACTACAATACCAGGGACTGTGGATATATATTTGAAAAGACCCAGTTCTGACCTTCTTACAGGCTGCTGGGGAGACAGAGAAAGAGAATTATAATGTGCTACTTGTTATAATGAAGATATTATTAGGTGTCATAAAAGCATAGAAGAGCAGCCACATCTGCCTAAATGAGTCAGAAAAAACTTTAAGAGGCCATCTAGAGCGGAATGATGATGCCCTTGAATGAGCAAGTAGCGTTTATTCCAAGGATTTTGTGAGTAGTGTACTCATGTGTTTCCTGTGAAGCCTTAACTGTGTATTTTAAGATTACCCTTATATTTTCTTGCCTGTTACAAAAAAATAAAAAGAACAGTTCTGATGCGTTATCATTTGTAAATGTTAGTTGGTCCTATTTTAAGAGTTGATTTTTTAATTCTAGCATAGCCAGCCATGATCGGTTGTTTTGTGCTCTTCCATTTTGCCTTTTAGCCCCTCTATTTTTTAATGTCTCTCCTTTCGAAAATGATGGAGAATTTTTAATTTTCATTGTTTTTACTGAAATAAAATTCATCAGCTTAAAAAGATCTAAAAGCAGATTGCTGAATGATATTTCCAGGTTTTATTTTTAACTGATATGTCCCCCCTGCGACTCAATGGCTTTTATACAGGACTGTTCCTCGTTAAAAATTCATGGAGAGAGTGGTGTGGGGAGAGTGGATGGAAATCAAAATGTGGGATGGTTTTAAGTACAAATCACTTCAGGAACCTGAAGCATCATTTAGGAAACCAGCAAAAAAATAAAACTTATTTTGAAAGACATAATCTGTATAATATGGAGAATCCTATTAAGATTTTTCAGGTTTCATATGTCAATAAAACATTGTTTGAAGTCTATGCAAGCTACTTCTGTTCTAGGGAAACTGTCAGCAAGATACTAACTTTTCCAAAAACCAGTGGTAAGATTTAATATTCACTTCCCTTCCCCACATTGTTTTCTCTTGGAAAAGGTATACTAAGGTTTTGTGTCGGGTGGTGGTCATTGAAAAGTCTCATATAATGTGAGTAATGTTCATGAAGTTGTCTGAACATCATTATTTTAATTATTCAGGACAGTTTCTTTATAAAGTTATGAGCTTTATCTTCCTTATGTAGGCCATGTAGCTTAACTGCATTAAGGTAAAAGGCCTATCTCTAATTTAAAATTTAAAACCAAAAAATTTTTCCAAAATACAGTTAGTACTTGTAAGGAGGCCATGAGTAGGCCTTGCATATAATTTAGTGCTGGAAAAATAATTCCATATATGCTTTAATTGAAAGAATATTGAGTTTGTGACCCTTGCATATAAAAGATAACATTATAAACTCCATTACATCTTCTGCATCTCAAACATCATGTCAGTGATTCATCTGCATGTGAACATCATCCATGAAATTATAGAATTCAGCTTCCTCTAGCATTTATTGTAGTACATAAGAATATATAGTGCAGTATTCTAATGTTACATTAGATCTCAAATAATCATGGCTGCAGTCAAGAGGATGGTACAGAATATGGATAAATTATTTCCCATTGAAAAGCAAAAATTAATGACTAACAGATATTAAAGTGAAATTTCTGAATAGAAAGAACCCAAGGCTTGTCATTTTTATTTTATTTTATTTTATTTTATTTTTGCCAGTGGTACGAGATGCTCTTGCGTAGTGATTCTTAAATTTGGAACTGTGTGAGAATCAAGTTTCTAAACTCTCTTCAACCTACTGAATTAGAATCCATGGGCATGGGGCTAGGAAATTTCTAATTTTTAAAATCTCCCTAGCTGATTCTGTTATATTCTAAAATTTGAGAACAACCAGTCTTGGGAAAATATTACTCCTATAATTTTAGATTTTTTTTTGTTTCTCTGAATGTTGTGGGTTTTTCCCTGCATTTGTGTTTTTGTTAGCAACCTTTCCCCTGGATCTCACAAAAACTCGACTCCAAATGCAAGGAGAAGCAGCTCTTGCTCGGTTGGGAGACGGTGCAAGAGAATCTGCCCCCTATAGGGGAATGGTGCGCACAGCCCTAGGGATCATTCAAGAGGAGGGCTTTCTAAAGCTTTGGCAAGGAGTGACACCGGCCATTTACAGACACGTAGGTATTTATCTTGATTCTAGCTGGTAAGTTTGTTATGAGTTATGTGTTTGTCTCCTGTGCTTTTCTGTTTGTCCAAAAACAAGCTAGTTTTTTTCTCCTACCGATGCAATAACTGAACACATACAGCACATAGTCTTTTTTTATTATTATTTATTTATTTATCTATTTTATTTATTTATTTATTTTTTGAGAGTTGCACTCTATTGCCCAGGCTGTAGTGCAGTGGTGCCATCTCGGCTCACTGCAACCTCCACCTCCCAGGTTCAAGCAATTCTCCTGACTCAGCCTCCCGAGTAGCTGGGACTACAGGTGCACGCCACCACACCCAGCTAATTTTTTTTCTTTTTTCCTTTTTTTTTGTTTTGAGAGAGTCTCTCTCTGTTGCCCAGGCTATAGCACAGTGGTGTGACCTCAGCTCACTGCAACCTCCATCTCCCAGGTTCAAGCAATTCTCCTGCCTCAGCCTCCTGAGTAGCTAGGATTACAGGCGCACACCACCACACCTGGCTAATTTTTGTATTTTTAGTAGAGATGGGGTTTCACCACGTTGGTCAGGCTAGTCTTGAACTCTTCATGAAATTTTTGTATTTTTAGTAGAGACAGGGTTTCACCATATTGATCAGGCTGGTCCAAAACTCCTGACCTCAGGTGATCCACCTGCCTTGGCCTCCCAAAGTGCTAGGATTACAGGCATGAGCCAATGTGCCTGGCCAGAACACATACAGTCTCTTAAGAAGAAAAAAATTAACTACCAATTATTATTAAGAAGTTACTGTCCTAAATTTTTAGAAACGCATACTCACGTATTTAGGGATGAACTGTCATGAAGTCTGTAAACCACTTTAAAATATTAATTAAGCAAAAAACAATGAAGCAAGCCAGGTATGGTGGCTTATGCCTATAATCCCAGCAGTTTGGAAAGCCAAGGCAGGATAATTGCTTGAGCCCAGGAGTTCGAGACCAGCCTGAGCAAGATGGCAAGACCCTGTCTCTACAAAGAGTAAGAAAATTAGCCAGGCAAAGTGGCACATGACTGTAGTCCCCACTACTCAGGAGGCTGAAGTGTGAAAACACCTTGAACCCAGGAATTCAAGATGGCAGTGAGCTTTGATCCTGCCACTGCACTCCAGCCTGGGCAACAACACAAGACCCCATCTCTAAAAGAATTAAATTGGGCCGGGTGCTGTGGCTCACGCCTGTAATCCAGCACTTTGGGAGGCACAGGCGGGTAGATCACGTGAGGTCAGGAGTTCGAGACTAGCCTGGCCAACATGGTGAAACCCTGTCTCTACTAAAAATACAAAAATTAGCTGGGCATGGTGGTGCATTTCTGTAGCCCCAGCTACTCAAGAGGCTGAGGCAGGAAAATCGCTTGAACCCAGGAGGTGGAGGTTGCGGTGAGCCAAGATCATGCCATTGCACTCCAGCCTGGGTGACAAGAGTGAAACTCTGTCTCAAAAGAATACAAAATAAATTTAAAAAGTTAGACAATTAAGGAATTAAGGAAATATGGCAGAAATGTTAGTGGTTGATAAATCTCAATAGGTAGAGATAGAGGGAGTTATATATTATTTACTCTTCAGTGTTTGAAAATTTTCTTAATAAAAATTTGTATAGGTTTAAGAAAGAAAAAATGAATAGCTGATATCATTTTTCTTCACTTAAGAACTTTAAACACATTTAAATTTTTCATATTTTTTGAAAACTAACATATATTTATTACAGTGCCAAATCTCATGAGTCTCTGTCTCATAATCTAAGACCAGGCTACCCTGAAAGAGAACAGAGTTCACTGCCTAATCCAACACTGGCTATAGTGTAAATGCAACACAGGTGATTTTTGCCCCAGTTCCAAGGCTACCTAACTAGCTGTGTGGGCTTTAGTCACCCTTAAAGGAAGATGGTTGCAACTATGCCAGTGAGAACATTTTTCTGCTCTGCTTCCACAGTGACATTCACAAGAGGAGGACTTGACTTTTTAGCTTGTGTACAGGAGAATATAAAATTGGCTTTAAAGGAGGTAGGATAGGTTTGGCATTTTTCTCCTCATAATGTTTCCTGAAGCATGAAAGGATGCTTGATCAGAAAAGTGCTCAGTTCTAATTTCTGATATTTGCTGGCTTCATATTTTTAAAGACTCAGTTCTCCAGATGAGTAAGTTAGGGTGTATCATCAAAAACTTTCTAGAATTGTGTGCAGAGACTGTTACTGGTTTTGCAAGTTGTATATTTTTGAGTATCTTAAAATATTTCATCAACTTTCTAAAACATTAAGAAAAGCTCTCTATACAAATACCATGTGTTGATTTTAATTATTTTGTTTTCCATCGTTTTAAAAATATTTTCTCCTTTGCATCCCATTATTATTTTGAGTTTCATTTCCTTTCATTTGTAGTTTGTTGTTCATTGTATTGTTTTACAGCTAAGATTCATTTCATATGTTTGATACTTGGCTGAAAATTACAATAAATTCTCCAATGAAATTATGTATCTTTATGTAATGAAAATACCTGCTGTGCACCAAGGTATGTACTAGGGCACCTGGGGTAAGTAAAACAAACACACAGAGCCTGCCTAGAGAAGCTCATGGTCTGATGGAAAGATAAGCAAGAAAAGCTAATTTCTAATCAATATGATCAAAAGGTCAGAGAGCACTTTCTGAAAAACATGTTTTTGAGTTGAGTCCTGAAAGACAAGGACATGTTAGTAAAGCAGAGAAGGGAGAATTCATTTTGGAAAGATCAGACAGTGTGTGGGAAGGCAAGAGTCTGAAAAGAACATGCCCCATTTGGAGAAGCATCAAGAAACCCACATGTCAGAAGCATTGGCCCCATGAGACAAAGACACAGCTAGAGAGATTGACTAGACCATGTTGGAATGTCCTCTTATTTTATATAGACATAAGCATATAGATACATGTAGCCAAAGTTACCTTTTTAATGATCTTTTTTACACAGTGTACTCCGGAGGTCGAATGGTCACATATGAACATCTCCGAGAGGTTGTGTTTGGCAAGAGTGAAGATGAGCATTATCCCCTTTGGTAAGTTTTGTTTTGAAAATAACATGCTGTTGCCCCAAATGCCTTAATGTTTATTAGGTTTATGTAAAATTGTACATTTGTACCCAAATTGCCTTAAGTTATGGACTTAAAATAATAAATAATTACAATATAAGTCCAGATAATTAAGCATTTACTGCACATGGTATACAGACATACATGTACATACATATATAAGGTGCATATATAGAGATATTTAATATTTTACTGTTGAAAGAATTCTTATGGAGTACCTTTTTATTTCTCTTTTTGTTAAGAACTCTCGGCTTTAGAGTCAGTCAGGGATGGGCTCAAATTCCTGCTCTACTACTGTATAACCTGGACAAACTGCTTCACCTTTTTTATCTTCAGTTTTTGCAGCTATAGAAGTAACACTAACCATTAAGTGTTTTTATAGGACTAGGTGAGATGATTAATGTAAGTGTATATTATTTAACAGAAACTGAAAAAATCGGTTACTATAAATAATACACATAGAGTGCCTATAAATAAATAGAAATATAGAAAACACAGGCTGGGCACGGTGGCTCATGCCTGTAATCCCAGCATTTTGGGAGGCCAAGGTGGGCGGATCACCTGAGGTCAGAAGTTCGAGACCAGCCTGGCCAACGTGGCAAACCCCTGTCTCTACTAAAAATACAAAAAATTAGCTGGGTGTGGTGGTGGGGGCCTGTAATCCCAGCTACACAGGAAGCAGAGGCAGGAGAATCGCTTGAACCCGGGAGGCGGAGGTTGCTGTGAACTGAGATTGCACTATTGCACTCCAGGCTGGGCAACAGAGCAAGGCTCTGTCTCAAAAAATAAAAAATAAAAATAAAAAATTTTATGTATATAATTATAATATATAACCTCTCAGCTGGACCACTGCCACAGCCATCTTAACTTGTCTCCTCCTTCATCCTCAAATGTGTACCCGGTATCCGGAGTGATTTATTTGAAACACAGATATTAACACGCTATTGGTGTTCTTAAAACTTGTCACTGGCTTCTAATCACCCACAAAATAAAGTGGAAATTTTGGAATGTGACTTAGAAGATCTGCAAAATCTGACCTATGCCTTCAGAGAACTAAGCAATTCATTGATTCTCTTGCAAAGAGTGGTGCACTAATGAGCTGAAAGATTCCACTGCCTGCACATACCAAACTGTTCTTCACCTCTGTGTGTGTGTGTGTGTGTGTGTGTGTGTATAGAGAGAGAGAGTGTAAGTGTGTGTGTGTGTGTATATATGTGTGTATATATGTGTGTGTGTATATATATATATATAGAGGTGGGGGGAAAACACAATAAACTAAGGAAAAGATTCCAATAGGCAGTTCACAAAAGAAATATACATGTTCCTTAAACATTAAAATGTTCAAACTCACCAATAATCAAGGGGATTAATTAAAACTAACTTTAAGCTGTTAGTGGAAATATAAGTTATAATAGTCTTTCTGGAGCATAAATTACTTGTTAACATTTTTGAATGTGTAACCCTTTAACCCTTTGTGATTATAATCATTTATAAATGCTTCTACATATGCAAAAAGATAGACACAAAGATATTGACTGTAGCAGTGTTGATGATAGAAAAAATTTTTTTTAATTTAAACTATTGATTGGAAGCAGTTAAGTAGGTTATGATATATTTATGGCATAACACAGCTATCGAAAGCATGAGGTAGGTTTCATGTGACTAGCATGGAAAGATGCCTATAAAATCTTTCTTAGTGTTAAAAAAATCCAAGTCACAACTATAAAAAAAAGGGCAATATATAGTTTCACCTTTCAGGCCACATTTCTTTATTCTGTTTTTGAAAAATTGTAATGTACTAAGCTATACTAATTGCTTTCCCAAAGTCAGTTATGGAATAGAAGATTAATAGTCCTTGCATTTTGGAATTTCTTCCAGAAGGCAAAGGTTTAAGTAAAAAGTTCAAAGGAAATATTATACCAGAACTTTCAGGGGGGGTAGGTTTAACGTCCTTTTGACCCAATCAGAACAATTTATTCGGTAATTATGATATGCCAGTCTTATACTTAATACTGAGGCTGTAGTAATGAAAAAGAAATAATCCTGCTGTCATTCAGCTTACAGTAACAGTCGATGAATAAACAATTAGAATTATGTAAAAAATACAGAGAAAAGAGTGGTTATGAGAGATGCAAAGAGAAGAAAATGTGATACTATACTGTGCTTATCATTGTGTGGAGAAACAGGCATTTTCATAGGTTGCTGGTGGAAGTGCAAATTGATAAAGGTTTTCTGGAAAGCAATTTGACAGGCTCTAGCAAATGTTATGTAAATGTTCACATTTCTTAAAATTATGCTAGTTAAATAAATTATGGCATATCCATAAAATGAAATACTATCGAACTATTAAAAAGAATGAGGCTGCTCTATATGATCTGATAGGGATAACCTTTAAGATATGTTGTTAAGAAAATAGTGTAGAACACTGTACAACTTGACATTCTATATTAGTGCTTTTACAAAGGAACATTTGTACAGATATGCTTGTGTATGCACAAACTGTCAGTCATAACTTAATGTTTAAGACTGTGGGCTCTGCATGTAGGCTGTCTGGATTCACATCTTGGCTGTCCCACTCATTCGTTGTGTGATTTGAGCTGTCATTCAACTGCTCCGTGCTTCAGTTTCCTCATCTGACAGAGAGAATGACAGCACTGTCACGAGGGTTGATATGAGAATTAAATGGTATTTTTAAAATGCTCAGAACAGTGCCTGACATGAGCATTCAGTGAATTTGTTATTATATCTGGCAAGGGGTATAATAAAATAGTAGTTGTGATTGCTTCACTGGAGGGGAGCTGGGCATAGGGGTCAGAAGGAGACTTTTCTTTTATACCCTTTTATAGTTCTTCAAGTTATTTTAAAGTAAAAGGAAATAAAATATTTATTTTCCCCGAGACTACTGCAGTAATCTGGGTTAAAGGTGACTGGAGTCTAGCCTTTGTCTGTTAGGCTGACTACATCTACGCAGTTTTGATTCCCCTGTAGTTGGAGTTAAACTACAATTATCAATTCAGATGTGTATATCTTTGAAACAACTGCTCTTTCCTTTGGATTTCAGGCCATATAAGGCCTGAAATTTTCACTCCTTATACTCCTTTAACTTCCCATCAGTAAATAGTCAAACTGTTTACTCTGTGACTTACTTGGGTATACCCTTTTCTTTACTTGATCTGAAATCTCTTACCTAGGCCCTGTACTAGCTCAGTATTGGTTCACTGTAAAATTCATGAAATTAATGGAAACTTTAAAAACAATTTCCTTCTACAATTAGGAAATCAGTCATTGGAGGGATGATGGCTGGTGTTATTGGCCAGTTTTTAGCCAATCCAACTGACCTAGTGAAGGTTCAGATGCAAATGGAAGGAAAAAGGAAACTGGAAGGAAAACCATTGCGGTAAGTTCTCCAATTAACCAATACTTCTCTTTTTCCCTTGGCCACCATCATATTTTTAACATGTACCTGGTAGAATTATCATCCAATATGCAGTAAAGATATTACTTCTGACTTTTTTAATTTGGAAGTTCATTAAGAGGAAAACTAAGCTGGATCTTTTCTTTGCACTAGAAAGTGTACATGTTCTATACCAGACAAATAATATGTGTGTGATATTCTTTGCTGGTTTTTCCAGCCAAGGCTAGACTTGTCCCCTACTGCAGGTTAACATAAACAGTTTGATTATTAAAACTTGCCCTGGTATGAATCTCAGTTTTGCCATTGTGGCTTGGTGTTGTGGAAGTACTTAACATTTCTGGTCTCTTGGGTTTTCATCTTTATAAACTCCCTCAAAAGGCTGTCATGATGGTTAACATGCCTGGCTGCTCATTAGTGTGAAAAACCTTGCTTTCATTCCCTTCACCCTGCAGGAGGAGAGTAGCAGGGTTAACGTTGCATATTGTCCCAACTTTCTTGTTGAATCTAATTCCTTCTTCATCTTGAAGCCCTCTTTTTCCCTAATTTAAAGGAATTTTTAAGTATGGCTTATGGTATATAAAATCCTCCCATTGCATTACACTATATTATTAAAATCCGACTTTCTTTCAAGGGTTCCATGTTCAACAGTTTATTAAAATACTACTTGGTTTCCCCTGGGAAAGGGACAAAATCATGCAGATGGATAGACCTTTCCCACAAAAAAGGGAAGTACAGGATGACTTGAGCTGAGTACAAAGGGAGCTGCTCCTCCGAACACTCCAGGTCTGCAGCTGAGCCAGAGGCAAAGGAGGGTTTGGGGCCATCTTCACCACTGACCACTGCTCTCTGCCCCTCTTCGTGTAGCTGACTCAGTGGAAAAGGAGGCTGGGCTACTGCAGCCCAGGGTCCCCTTCAACCTTCAAAACATGGAGAGAACATGCACAGCACAGGAGAAAAGGGTACCACTGTGACTTAACCAAGCAGTTTATAGAACCCCAGGGCCCAGTTTGTCATCTTATAACAACTTCTAATGACTAAGTAACAGGGAGAAGTCACGCTGCCTTCTTGGATAGGAGGAGAAAACTAGTTATTAGGATCCAGAAATATCTGAGTTTTTAACTGATCCCTCAGTTTTTTCCTCTCTGTTCTTAATGTTGGAAATTTTTGGTTTGAATACACCTAATGTAGTGCATTTTAATAATCAAACTCTTTATATTAACCTGTAATGGGGACAAGTCTATATACTATAGTAAAGAGCATGAACATCGAGATCAGACAGCCTGGGATTCAAAGCCAGTCTTTACCACATCTTAGCTTTGTAATCATAGTCAAGTTCCTTGCCCATTTTAAGCCTTGGTTTTCTCAAACGTAAATTAGAATCATATTATCTATCTCATGAGTTTTCAGTATTAAAATGTATGCCATGTATATTAAATACTTGGCATTTAGTGCTCCATAAATTTTAGTTACAGTGATCATCATTCATGATCATAACTTCTCATGTAGCATAACAGCAATTATGTGTGTCCAATAAATATGTGACATTGTCTTTTTGGTGAGATTCAGAGAGTGTGATACCTGAGTAAAAGCCACACAGGCGAGTAAGTGGTGAAGGTGGCATTTGACTTCAGGTTTTTCTGACTGCATAAAGCTCAGACTTTTTTTTAATGCCAGAGGTTTCCATATTTGGTTTATGCTTCTTCAGCACCATTCTTCATCTATCTAGGGAGAAATGAGCAAGATAGTCTACTAAATTTTCTTGAAGCTAAAATTCTTCCACTTTAAGAACTCTTATTATGCAATTGTCCTTTTTACTTCTTAGTCTGTCATTTTTTATGAGATTAATTGTTGTTAATGTCATTATTTGATGAACTCTAAAAATTTGCAGGTCCCTTCCATCACCAGTAAAATTAATCCAGAAGTCTGATAACCTTTGGCTTTCTCCTATAATTAATATGTGTAGTGATAATATAAAATATCAGAAAGGTATTTTTATCTGTTTAATAATCTTGAGAAGATGACACAGTTTATAAAGATTTCCGTTAAAAATGTTTAAGTCAAATGTTGGCCTTTTTTCTAAAGGATTATTATGTTTATCTGTAAATTAGACTTATGTAGATTGCTTCAATTTCTAATAATTCTGGATAAATTATATCTGGATGTTACTTACTCCAGATTATAAGAGCTATAAGTGAAGCTGATCCAGTTGCATTTCATACACAGGAATATATGGAGTTTTCACATTTCGTTATTATTCTCCTTAGATTTCGTGGTGTACATCATGCATTTGCAAAAATATTAGCTGAAGGAGGAATACGTGGGCTGTGGGCAGGCTGGGTACCCAATATACAAAGAGCAGCGCTGGTGAATATGGGAGGTAATGGAAACTTTGTTAAATTCTAAAAAGTCCTAATTGCCTTCATAGTTAAAAGCACATAAATTAGACAAGTGAAAATTTATGTTTTATTTTTATTTATAATGTATTGGTGACCATATATTGTTGACCGGCTGTATAGATGTTCTAGGTCGTAATTGAATATTTTCCACAGAGCATTTTTGCTTCATTCTGCAGTGATGTATGAAAAGGATTTACTAAAATAGGCAAATTGTGACAATAAGGAGACAAGGCCAAACTATTTCTAAGGTCCTCCTCTCTAGTCCAGACTTTCCTTTAAGATTAAAACCGATAGATACAGCTATCTGATCGTTGTTATATCCAGACTGTCCAAATCTTTCCCCTGGCAATCCTGCTCCCATTCCTAACACCCCAGGCTGGAAACCTGAATGTTCTCTTAACTCATCCCTACCCCTCACTTCTCATATTCACTTACCAATTCTGTCTCCCAAATATTTCTTAAAAGTTTTCCACTCCAATACCTACTACTTTAGTATCCTTAAGATGACCATTTGTACACCATCAGCCTTGAAAACCTCTCAGCTGGACCACTGCCACAGCCATCTAACTCATCTCCTCCTCCATCCTCAAATATGTGCCTGGTATCCAGAGTGATTTATTTGAAACACAGATATTAACACGCTATTGGTGTTCTTAAAACTTGTCACTGGAATATAAATAGCATTTTTGAGGGTTCCAGTAATATAGCACCTAAACATCAAAGGAAGTCAATCTTTGTGTGAGAAAGAAGCTAGAAGCTCTTCTTTCACACCATTCTTTCTACATTCTTCATAATCTCAAAAATATATCACCACTCTTTCAGCTGTACAAGCAGAAACCTAGGCATGATTTTTGGCTCTTCTTTTTCATTTGCTCCATTGCTTATATCCAAGCAGTCACCAAATCCAGTCATTCCATCTTCCAGATATATCTCAGACTCATATACTTTTCTCCATCCCTGGAGCCATTCTGTTGTCCAAGTATTATTTATTCCCTCCAACTGGACCACTATAGAGGCCTCACAACTGGTTTTTCCATATCTACCCCATTCCCATTTTGCCCCACTATGCCTTTGAAACTGATTTTACCAAGATTATCTTTGCTATTACCTTATTTTTTAAAATTTAAAGCTATCTTCATTTTTCAACATCCCTATAAATGGTGCCTCTGTCCTTTAAATTGTTCACACTCAAAACCTTGGAGTTGTCTTTGATTTCTTTCTACCATTCTGTATTCAGTCTGCTGGCTGATCCTGTTGATTCTTCAAAATTTATCCAGAACTTGACCAGGGCTCCATTACTCCCTTATTCAAGTCGTCATCGTCGCTTACCGGGATGACTGCTTTGCCTTGTTTTCTTGTAGTCTACTCTTAATAGAACTATTGAGTTCTTAATAGAGTTCTCAGTAGTTCTGTTAAGTTCTAAATAGTAACCTCGGGCAGTCACTCCTCTGCTCAAAAGCCTCCCCTGGCTTCTGATGCTCTTCATCATCTAGACTCTGCTACTCCTTGCATATTCTGCTGCTGCTGGCCCAGTCTTCTAGCTGTTTCTCTAACACCACAAGCTGACGCCTGACTCAGGGTTAGAAAGCATACTGTATTTTTGCCTGGGGCAATTTCTCTTAGCTATCTACAAGTTTGTTTTCTCATGCTTTCTTTTGGTCTCTGTTCAAATGTCCACTTATCAAGAGGTCTTGCCTGATCACCCTATTTAAAATTAATAGAAACTAATCCTCCCTACCCTCTGGTACTCTCTGTCCCTTTCCTTACCTTCTTTGTCTTCAGGGCATTTACTTCAAGAGCAAGTGCATCTGAAACACCATGTAGTTTACTTTATTGTCTCATCCCACAACAGAGAGCAAGGGTGTTTGTTCACTTTGTCCATGGCTGTTTCCCCCAGTGCAATCAAATGTACCTATCCATTCTTGCCTTATTAAAACTTACTTCCCTATACTTTAATGTGGGTAAACTTTATATAACTCCAGCATTGTGATGTCATTCTCCTATTTAAAACCCTTCCATAGCTCTTCATTGCCATTAGAGAAAATGTATAAAAGGGCCAGGCGCGGTGGCTCACGCCTATAATCCCAGCACTTTGGGAGGCAGAGGTGAGCAGATCTCTTGAGCTCTGGAGTTTGAAACCAGCCTGGGTAACATAGTAAAACCCCATCTCTACAAAAATATTTAAAAATTAGCCGGATGCACACCTGTAATCCCAGCTCCTTGGGAGGCTGAGGCACAAGAATCGCTTCAGCCCAAGAGGCGGAGGTTGCAGTGAGCCGAGATTGTGCCACTGCACTCAAGCCTGGGTGACAGAGACCCTGTCTTGAAAATGTATAAAAGACTTAATGTAGAATAATGGTCAGGACCTTTTATTTATAAGTGATAGGATTTCAATTCAGCTTTGGCTAAAAAAAGTAATTTATTGGCTCAAATACTAAAAGGCCCAGGGGTTGAGCTGA